TATATCGAGATATTCATTTTCAGCGAGTAATGATTATTTCATTCATAGTTCGCCGAATGCAAATAATTGATGATTGTCCTGTAACATTATACGTTATACTCTTGTAATATGTATAAAATATTTTTATACAATAATCACTATTGTATCATTAGACAAAATGCGTACACGCCTACGATGTTTTGCTCGATTCATTTTGTTAACGATTAACCAGGAAGATGAATCGGAAGTAAAAAAAAGGGGAATGCAAATTGTTGCATTAAGTCCTACATGTGCACTACATTCTATGTGCGCCAAGCAGGATGTCAGTTTCTTCTAATAAGTTTACAAATAGAGATGTTTTCTCAAAGTTTTTATGCAGCATCGTTCGATACGTGACGTGTAATTAAAACGAAATGGAAAAACATTTTGTTTTCCACAATGGACTCAAAAAAGATATATACATACATATATGATTGTAAACGATATCAGATCTATTAAATATAGTGCGCGAAAGAAGATATCATATATCAAAATAGACAAATTATGTGAGATATTGATAGAATTAGTGAAATCATAAGTAATTATTTTTAAAAATTATAAAATACAGTTGCAGTTTTACATATTAAAATAAAGCAAGAGATAAATGAGATGACAAATGTATATAGAGCGAAGTCTGCTAATCAAATTTAGTCAGAATTTTTTCGGATTCGATACTGATTTTCTTTTTATGAATATATATATAAGTATAATGTCTTTCCTTAAATAATATTTCTCTTTTTTTTTTCAAAATAAGCATATTTTAAAAATAAGTAAAACTAAAATTCCTTCGCTTGCAAATAGCATTGCTTCTATACTATAAATTAATAATCATTTATTATATCTTCTGTTGTGCTGATTTTTGTAGAAATGATATCGTTTATGCTCATGAATTATTTAAATTTTTAAATTAATATATAGTATTTTTTTTTAAAGATACACTCTTTTTGAACGAAAATATATAAATTCTAAAGAGTATGTATTGTGGAGATCTATCGCGAAAGTTTTAAATTGACTTTCATGATTTAATCGTTAAATTTATGATGTATTGCTTTGTAGACACATCTGTTGTCACATATATGCATCAAGATTTATAATTAATATTGATACTTATATGAATGTATAATGTAAAAAATATATGAGGTATTACTTTTTTGCAAGTCATGCGCTAATATCTAATATACTTATAACATAATCGGCTTTCAATTTACGATCTTAATTGCGTGCAATCGTCTCGTGGAAGATCTTTATAGTTTCTTACTCTATTATTTTTGTGCGAGTCATCATTCAAATGCAATTGCTAATTATGGTAAAATCTCATTTTTGTAAAAGAGATACGTAAGATTAACAAATCAGTTTTATATCTATCATTAATTTGATGGCAATTACAAGAATTCTATCATATATGATCGTACTTGTACAATATTAATTGTAGCTTATATTTTTTTGGAAAAATATAAAATCATGAATTAAATTATCGATTAATATACTATATGCAAAGCGCATAATTATTTCAAAGATTCAGCTATTATGTGACTGCCTGCAAGTCAAATAAATAAGTGTTAGAATAAAATATTTAGTAAACCTTCAGATGTATTCGAGTATCATGGGTTAAATAAAATAATTCTGTTATAAAAATGTCATAGTTCTAAGTTTAAGTATAAAAAATTATTATAAGCAATTTCTTTCCTTTTCTACAATTACATGCCTCTCCTCCTGCAAGTAAAACAGCAGACTAATTTCTTATCAGAATTTTTAGGATTACAATATTTTACTTTATATTTTATTTTATGAAAAACTAATATCTAGGGAATGTTGAATTTTTTTGAAAAAAAAAAAAAAAAAAAAAAAAAGATCGTTTATGCATAAATGTATTTATGAGAAAACTATACAATATTTTACATGAATCCTTTTTAATATATGAAATTTATATATATATA